TGTCCATGTGGCTGACAAAGAGGTTAAACAGCACCAGCCACAATTCCGACCCCTGAGGGACACCACTTGTCATTGGTCTCCACTTGGACATTGAGCTGTTTACAATAACTCATTGAGTGTGACCACCCAGCCAATTCCTTATCCACCAAGTGGCCTATCCATCAAATCCATGTCTCTCCAGTTTAGAGACAGGGATGTCATGCAGGACAGTGTCAAACGCTTTGCACAAGTCCAGATAGATGAAGTCTGTTGCTCTCTTACCCATCAACTCTGTCACCCCATCACAGAAGGCCACTGAATTTGTTAGGCATGAATTGCCTTTAGTGAAGCCATGTTGGCCACCACTAATCACCTCATTTTCCATGTGCCTTAGCACAGCTTCCAGGAGGATCTTGCCAGGCACTAAGGTGAGACTGACTGGCCTGTAGCTCCCTGGGTCTTTCTTTTTTCCCTTTTCAAAAGTCTTCTCTGTGCTCTGGCCATTTCGTGCTTCAAGTGCTATAATTTATTCACAGTTACTCTCCATGCTCCTTTGTACTCCCTTCAGCCTAAAAAGATCAGTCTAATTGCTCTTCCGTCTATTTTCCCCTTCTCAAAGATTCCAGATGCTCAAACGCTCTCCGCAATGCCAACCCCTTGGTGTGTATGGAGCAAGAGGGCAGGCTCAGGCTATGACATGAATTTCAATGCACACCAGATCTGTTTAGCCATCCTCTGTGTACATAGCGATATGGGTGGGCAAATTTGGAAGTTACTTTTTAAGCCTTGTGCAATGTTGTGAAATGCAAGCAAAGACTGTGTTTGTGTGCAATGAGTGTTTTTTGGGCCACTTGGAATTTCTTCACGTCCATTTGAAACATCACACTAAATCCTCATCTTGGCAAGTGACAGGAGGTGCATAGAGTGGGTGACACCAAACGTCAGTATCGGTGTAGCTGAAGTTTTTTGTCTGGTGACCCATGAAACATGGCACTCCCCTCATTGTACCTCACCATTTCTGCCTGCACCTTTCTAGAGGGGAAATGATTTTCTATTCTGTCCATGGCTACCCAGTTTCAGATCCCTGTGGCTTTTTTAATTTCTTCTCCTGAAGTCCTTGCCATTATTACATATTAATTCCACCTCAAGCTGTTCTTTTTTCAATATAAAAGAATCAGTTCTTTCAAATCAGATTTCATTACTTCCTCTATTTTTCTGGGTTCTTTTCTTTCCTTTTATTTCACATTGTTGGTCTCCCAATAAAGACCTAATCTGAAGCTTTTAGTTTCTGTCTCAGTACTTCTTCTTGAAGTGGTTCTTGCTTTTCTATCACCATGACTACAATTTTTCTCTATGCTCTGGCCATTACCTGTTTCAGCTACTGTAATTCACTGACAACTACTGTTCAGGCTTTCTGTACTCCCTTTAGCCTAACCAAAAGTTTGCTAATCTACATTCTCACACACACATAAAGGATCCCATCTTGTTTCTTATGCTTGCCATTGGTTCCCTGCCTTCTCACTCTTCAGAGGTTTTCCTTTTCTTTGCCCCTGTTCCCTTTCTTGCCTCCTGAGTGCCTCCTGATGCTATCCTGCCACAGTACCTCTAGCCTCCTCCCAGCCTCTGTTCCGTAGCCTGCCTTCATTTTGGAAGCTGTTGAAGTAATACCATTTTACAGGGAGATTTATGTGCACAGATTCCTTGGCTCCTGAAGGTCATTCATGAGGTCCATGGCAGATTAGGAAAGTTTTTTCAAACCCTAGTGTTTCTGAGTGGCATCCAGTCACTCAGCCCAGGGAGTCTCCTTCACCAGACCTGTCATTCAGACCTCTTGCTCTGGTGATTCTTGGTCTCTGCAGGATCCAGTTTTTCCCTGCAGGCAATTGTGTTTTTTCTTGACCACATTTGACTCCGAAATCTTTGGGAATGAGATTGGTGTCTTTGTATTTGCAAAGCACCCAGTTCACCTTTATAGTGCCATATAAATGCTTACCCTATCCTAATTATAGTAGCCAGTGGATTAGACACGCTGTGCTGTTCTCAGGGAGGAAGCAGACAGATTTCTGTGCATCACACAGAGGAAAGCGACAGACTGTGTTTGCTTGCTAATTAAAACATTTCACTGACTTTAGCTTGAGTAATATAAAACTGCCTTGAATAGTCTAAATGTGCCTCTGTGAAGATTTCAGATAAGATCTCTTGCCAGAACTGAGAGAATACCCTGGTAACTGTGATGGTCAGAGCAGAGTGCTGGCTCGGAAGCATGGGAACAGAAAGTATGACCCTGTTTGTTCCCTTGTCTTCTGGAGTTTTAGGGACAAATATTCCCAGAAAACTCTTTGTGTCTTACAGGATGAAAAATCTCCATAGTTTTTCTGGATTTATTGTTGTAACAGGTTCAGAGACCCTTGGTCCTCCTTCTACTGAATTAGCACAGCACTGGCTGGACTAATGGTCACCCCTATCCTGAACCAGGGGAGTTCCTACAGGGCCACAGTGTGTTAATCCCATGTAGCACTCAACTGTCTCTTTGACTGTCTTTTTCTCATAATTATGCAACTGCGTTAAGTATGGATCAGCCTTGTCCCCCACTGTTTTATACCCAGGCTCACCAGAACCAAAGTAAATGAGTATCAAGTACATTTATTCAAGTTGTACTTTAATAATTTACTGTAAAGGTGAAAAGCATCAAAATAATCTGTATTGACATCAGGTCTCTGGTCATTGCCTGTCCATTCAGAGCTGGAGCGGGTTGCCCACAGAGGCTGCAGAGCCTCCATGTGTGGAGATTTGCAAAATCTGACTGGACATGGTCCTGGGCAACCTGCTGTTGGTGACCCTGCTTGAGCAGAGGTTTGCACTAGATCACATCAAGAGGTCTCTTCCTCTACTACTGAGACTCAGTAAGGCAAGCCCTACCAGACTGGTATCACCTACAATCCCTATGTTCCTCCCAGGCAGCAAAGAAATCTCCTACATGGGATGCAAAGCCCTTTGTCTGAAATCAGACAAAGGGTGGGGGGAGGAGGACCCCTTTTTCATCCTGTAATGAAAGTTTAGCTGGAGAATTGTTCTTTTCCTAGCCTTATTCTCCTATTCACAGTTTTGATCACTAACACTTGGGAATCCAGAGTACAACAAGCTGAATTTATTCATAGTCCGAGCACTATGAAAGCACCCTCTGAGGCAGTTTCCTCTCACACTGCCACACCATTGAAGGCAGCCCTGACCTTCGGGGACCACCCTCTTCAGGAATGGAGGGTTATTCAGCCTGCATCCTGTTTGAGAACCACACGCCCCTCCTGAGTACTGGCTCACTGCTGTTTCAGAGTGTTCCCACTGTGGAGTGGCGCTCCTGAAGTGACTGGTTGTGAGAGTGTGACCCCCTCTTCCTGGTCCTGGCTCAGAACTGAGCTCCCTTTGGGTCTACACAGCTAAAGCAAGACTGAACCCACAAACCTGCAAGCAGAGGTGTCAGCAACTTGACTGGTTTCAGAAGGAAAACACACCCTTGGGGTATAGCCTTGCATATCATAGCTAAATACACGTAGGAAGCAGTGATCTGGCTCCCTCTAATCCTTATTCAAGATAATGCCTTTGAAGTCCGTGTATGCTGCAGGCAGGGCCAGCTTGGCATTTTTGCCAAATCGGTGAAGCGTTTTGACATCAACTGCTTTCCTTTTCCCCAAAACAACAACTGGCTCTTGTTCTGCTTATTTTAATCCTGAAAAAAAACTTCATCCCATTTCCGTCTCGCTCTGCATTACTATGAGAGAACACCATTGCCACCACGGTTTCTCTGATGCATGAATACGCAGGCTCATTGCATACAAATCTCCCTTTTCTCAGTGCCCAGCCCCCTTGATTTGGGAGCAGCGTCTGCGCTGCGTTTCACACTGATTCCGGTGAGAGACTGCAGAAAGAGTGAGCAGGTTGCAGAACAGAGAACAGACTGTGCTTGCCATTCTTCATGCCGGGGAGAGTCAAACCAGTCCTTCCTCACAGGGAATAAGGCTAGAAAAGATCTAGTTTAGGTTGTACCTCTTACTATGGCAGAATTTTGTCTAATAGTGCCAGTACATACATGCCACACATTTTGCCTTGGGAGTTTGGTCCAGTGTTTTATGCTTGTTGGAGGTTTTGACTTGGGGCTATCCTGTGTCCAGATATGCTAAGTGTTTTCTTTTTATGCCCAGAAAAATTGCCTGCAGAGATGTTTGAGTATTGTCTGGACTGGAGCTTGGATAGGAAGGCTACGCATGTGGAAAACATGGACATATCCCCAGGACCTATACTGACCTATTGTACAATCTGCGTGCAGGAAACCAGACCAGGAAGCACTGATCTTATTCTATGAACGGGATATAATTACTTGGTGAATACACAGTAATTTCACAGTGTCACAAAAGTGTGAGATTTACCTCATATAAACAACATATCTGATTACAGAATCAGAGGAGTAATGGATTCACTGCTCAGCCACTACAGAGCATGACAGAAGCAGTCAACAACATTGAAACTGGGATCCTGAGGACACACAACAGGAACTGTTGATGCCAAGGGTATTAGACACCAACATTGCCGTAGTATCTTGGGTCCTGCTTTGAGTTGTACTTAATCCTTTGTGGTACGGCACAGCCCTCCTGGGCCTCTACCTTCTCATTCTTCCCCACTTATTTTTTCCCCACTAAGTACCAAACATGCTTTGAGGGACATCCAGCCCTATGCTGGCTGCAGGACGTGACACACTCATGCTTATCTTAAGCATCCTGAGGTGCTGCAGCTGCCATGTGCACTGCAGGTACAGGGTGGCAGAGCACTGGGATGAAGAGCAGGGGGAAATCAAAAGATACAAAGTCAGATACACAGGAGAAGTGTTTAATTTTGGGGAGCAGTACTTCCCTCCTTGGATTCCACCACTCCTCGCAGTCATGCTTTTATACTGAGGCACAGCTGTTTGCACGACCACAGGATGACCTAGAGAAAGGGAAATTCCATACTAAATAATGTTTTGGGTTTTGCCTGGGTTGTTTTTGCTTCAGCCAACAATCAGTTGTGCTGGTTTCATTGAAGCTGCCATTTGACTGCCTCTGAGCAGAAAGGATCAGCAGGGCCAAATGTCCCTTAGACCAGTGCTGTGCTGAAGAGCACAGCCAAGGTGGCACAGTAGCAGCAGGGATACCTGTCCAGCTTCTTCATTCCTCTCCACCACGTCACCGTAACCCCGTCATCCTCTCCACTGACACTTGGGAATGTTGTGCAGTGCCATGGGTGGCTGCTCGGTGAACTGCCCCAGGGAACCAATCCAGCTGAACAATAATCTGTTGGAATAAAACCAGAAGGGACCATTTTAAGTACCATCCCTTCCTTGGTGGGATCCACGGTACAGGCGGAGAGGAGCAACCAGGGGATGGCTTGGCTAACCTCACTTCTGCCAAAGAAGGCCCCCACGACCCTCAGCCTTTGGTGTGTGAAACCATGGCCTGAACATGGGTACCTTCCTCGTGCCTAAACTAACTGTATTCTCTTATTTTGTTTCTGAGGACAATCTTCCAGTCTGAAGGGAAGGGCGATAATGTTTCTTGAAAATTCACATTGTTTTGTTAGCAAATACACTCATGTTTGACACAACATCCACGATGTCTGCCAGATCAGCAGGGTTTTCCTTCTCTGCTCTGGCTCTTTTCCTCCTTTCTTTTTTCTTTTTTTTTTCCTTTTCCACTACCCTCTTAATTTAGACTGAACTCTCCTGTAACAGCAAGTCAGTGACTTGCTTTGGGCAAAACAATTTGTACACTAGATTTATTGTCTTCCTGCTTGAATGTCCATCTTGTAATATCTTCCTCATCCAAGCCCATCCAAGTTTTTCTCTCTTTTTTCCTCTTTACTTCAAGCTTAGTGTTTTGAAGGAAGTTGATCAAACTGAGCATTCTTGTGAATTTGAGCTGGCTTGCCAAGAATGTAAGTGATTCATCACCGTGTAAGGAAAAATGCTGGCAATAAAACATTTTTCCCCACTACCCTTTTTTTAAATGCAAAATACTGTTACTGCTCAAAACAAGCAGATTATTTTACTCGGTACAATGTTACCCTATTAATTGTACAACAACCAGAATTCTTAAAATACCTTTAAGCTCTATTCTTAGAAGAAGGAAATATTACCAGCAGAGGCCTTGAAAGCAATGAGATGTGAATTACAAGCACTAGTAAAGCACAATGACATGGTAACTTGCCTCATATCCTTCATATTGTTACCTTACCCTCAGCAGGACCAAATTCCAGCAGTTTTTCCTTTGCACTTTGTGTCATGGATATTTAAAGAACCCCTTGGGAAATGCAAAATAATTTCAGAGGGGAAAGGTATTACTTACTTGCCTGGGGACAGTGCAGGGGCTGAATCATCTAAGTAGTGAGGAGAGTTTAATATCCCAGTTTGTCCCCTAAGAAGGTGCTGGTGTGGCTGGACAGGTGCATGCCTTGGCTCAAACTCCCTGGGGGCCTGCCATGGCCACATTCCCTGTGCCAGGACACCTCAACTGCACTGTGCCTGTCTCACCCCTCTCCTGCTACAGGGCTCCAGCAAGTGAAGGTTTTCACACATCTGTCAAGCAGAGAGCCTGGCGTTCTGCACACTCCTCCCTAAGAAGTCAGAGGGCTTGTTTATAATTTGGCAACAATCAAAAAAAAAAGTTAGTTTGGGATTAGATATGCATTGTTACACTCAGGAAAGCAGGATTCATATTTTCTGGAAGTCTTCTTTTAAAAGCTATGACAGTAGCAAAAGACTGTGCTGCTGTTTGTCACAGCTTTGGCTTTGCTCCTGGCTGGGCCAGGAAATAGCGTGCACAAAACATAATTCCCACATTTCATTAATGTCCCGCAGCCTTCCTTATGCTCCATCCGTGACACACAGGTAGGACCTATAACACTTGCACCTGACATTTTTCAATCTTGCCAAGGACCAGCTGCTTTCAAGCATCTTTTACCATCTATTATCTCTGCTAGCTAGCCTTCAGTAAAGCCTCTCACAATCCTGGTGGTTGGGGTTATGGGATTGCTGTCCCAGCAAGAAGTCAGGACTCATTGAAGCAGCCTCAAGAAACTGTAAAATCCCCCACAGTTCACCTGTCAGCGTGTGTACAGAGCTGACTGAGCCCTACAACTCACAATCTGCAGAGCAGGACGAGGATGAGCTGCAGAGCTCCCAGAAGCAGGTGCACAGCCCATTCTTGGTGGTTTTCCACTACTGACACCACCAAAAATTACCAACTTAAGAAAAGAGGCTCTAAGAGTGTGAGATGAAAAAGCATTCATTAAAATCCAGGCATCCCTGAGTTTCAAATGGACTGAGAACTTCTCCATGAGTGACCAAATGATTTCATGTGCCATGTAAACATATAATGAAAACCATGTAATGCCTCCATACACCAAGTCATTTGTGTCCACTGGCCATATTTTCAAAGAAGAACTACAGCTATGTTAACACAAACACACAAATCTTCCTGCTTTGTTTGCAGCCCAAGGTGGATGGACACTCACGAATCTCTCATTCTGACTAGTCTTCATGGCTTCTGATCAGGAGCCAATTAATTACTTCTACAGTGTATCATTTCATCTTTAGTCTAAAATCCTTTCTGAATCTCTTTCTGAAAGCACGGTTGAAGCATGTTTGAGCAGCAGCTCCATATTTTTTTGGGTAAAGCCAAGTCTGAAAGAAGCGATCAGCAGTCAGACTGCTGAACTTCAACAGCATTTTAAGATTTAGCCCATACATCAGACTCTGTATGTAGAAGTAACTGTGCCCTGTCTTCGTAATATTTCACTTTAATATTTTCAAACCTTCATGCTTAGTAATCACTTGTCTCTAACAAGCAGGGAATCTATCCATACCTCTAGGAATAGAATTTTTACACTTCTTGTGCTTGAGACTTTCACTTCCTTTCATATAATGGGGTCTCTTTCTCTAGTATTTATTTCCTAGAAAAATCTGAGATCTCTTTTTAAAGACAACTTTGAGTCATTATCACTCCTTATCTTTTAAAATTCTCAACACTTGCACTAAATTTGTATATCAGCTGGTAATTACTATGCCTTTACATTCCTCAAACCCCAAAAACTAGAGCTTATTTTATGTTGCTTCACATTGAACAAATCTAATTTAAGAGGTGTAGAAGTGCCATTTCTCCTGCTCTTCTATGCCATGAAGTTTTAGAGAAATGATTCTGAGTTATTCTCAGCTTTGTAAGAAGGGGAAAAAAGCACAAAGTTAACTGTGAAGTAGTGTCAACCTAAGATTATGTTTTTCCTATAGACTTTTAAAATTGTTTCTTTCCTTTACCTTTCTTCATGTGCAAGAGTTTTCCCCCAGCAAGTCTGTGAGGCACTTATTTATACTTTTTGGAGTGCTGCACTTTCTTATACATCTTGTGAACACAAAGAGCGCTGCTCACAGCAATCTGAAATGTCACAGTCTGTCATGCTGTCACATAAATTGTCACATCATTCAGCTTGTCATTTGAAAGCATCGGGTTATGGACAGATGTTGTCTTCTGGCTCCAGCTGAACCACTGCAAGGAGGATGCCTTTTATTACTGTCCCCTCTGGCCCACTGATGTGCCAGCACAGCTGCTTGTGCGATCCCCTGCTCACCCACTGCCGGCAAGAGCAACAGGATTACTGTAAACTATTTAACTATGAAGCCTTTGCTAAGGTGTTTCATTGTAATCAGTCTATGGAGAGCTCACCGTGACCAGCTCTGCCAAGAGAGCTGACTGGGGAAGGAACAGCAAGACACGTAAAAGCATTGATTTCTTCCTGCCAGCACCCTGGCTGCTGAATGCACCTCTCCCCGAGTCCTTACAATCGCTGATCTACAACCCCCATGTGCTTTCATTGCTCTGCAGCAAGACTTCACACATTTGCAATAAAATGTCCCTTGAATTTCCCCAGCACCTTCTGCCATGTGCCAAATGGAATATAATACAGCTCTTAACTCTAGTCAAGCGGTACATAGAGAGATTAATCTTTCTTGGTCCCAGAAATAGGCATGCACAAATTTTCTATCAACTTTTCTTTCGAAGTTACTGTGACCTGGGGGGAGCCTAAGGGATTCCGCCTTACATTATGCCTGTTCAGGCATTACTCCTGCCACTACCATTAAGATTATGTCAGTGTTTCCACTAAACACTGTGTCTCCGAGGACGTTATGGTAACCAAGCTGTCAGAATTCATTCTGGACTCAAACATCACATATTGTAAACTCCTAGCGATGGACATTTCCTTTCTGTAAAAAAACCTGTTAGAGTTAATCAATATTGCAATATATATAACATAGCATTCTGAAAACAATTTGGTTTTATACTAAACTATTCAAGATGTTGCAGGTAATTTATTGCAGCCAGAACATTTTGGTCATATGTGGCCACTTAGAAGAAAAAAAAAAAGAAAGAAAAAAAAGACAAATTTAGAGCCACAAAGGACACTTCTGTGAGGCAGCTGAGCTGTCTCAGGGTGCTGAGGCTTTGCTTTGTGCTTGACAAGGCTTGCCACATGGAACTACTTATTTTGGAGAAAAGTTTTGCTTGATTCTTTATGATGATGCTTCTGGAGGCAGGACACAGGTTAATGGCTTACACGACATCAGCCTTTGTTATGAAGGATAGGCACTGCTCTCGTAAACTTTCTGCAGGACTCTGTGAGCCCCAGAAGGAAGCCAGAAAAAACATGCCTCTCACTGTGGCTGCCCAGAGAGGATTTACTTGTCAACAGTTCTCTCGTCATTAGAGAATCAGTGTGAAATGCCACAGACATGGGAGGTTTTTTTTGTGTTAAGATCTATCATACTGGGGCAGAAAACAAAAGGAAATACCTGTTCTGAGTGTGCAGGATGCACCTCTATTCACCTACTATTTTCAATAGGAACAGTGTGTGCCACAGACTGAAAACTCTTAAAGATGTATGGAAAGCTGAAGAGAACCACAGCCAGAGAGCTGTGTGTAAAATATATGCACTTTGGTACACTCAATTGGATATCTTGGAATCTTCTACTTTAGGAGACAAAGCTTAAGTATTTTAATATTATTCTTCCATGGGAAGGGAAAAAGATATTTGGGGGAAGAATCTGAAATAACCATCAACCTAATCTGCTAACACTTATTCATGGAAATATTCCCACCAAGGCATGAGCAGGACTATGTCTATTAGATGGAGGCACTCGCCCCCTTCTCAGACTTCTGTGTCGTGTTCAAGCATAGGATCACATTAATCCAGGAAGCAGGAAGGGAAGGAATTTGTTTGCACAGGAAACGTGGAAGACAATATTAAGGGCATCTCTTCCAGATGATGATGTTGCACGGGGACACACTGCCTTTGCCCTGCAGGGCATTTGGACAATACTGCTGTTGCCCTCAGAGCAGCTGGGGCAGGGGCTGCAGGTCAGGCAGCCTCTGTGTTACCCAGGGAAAATGCGTTTACTCAACAGGTGGCAGCAGTCCCTGCAAGCAGGGAAAGCACCAGCAATGAAAGTAACCTTCACACTGGGTTGGTTTCTCATGACTGCTTCCAGTACTGGAGCTGCCCCAGTGAAGGAAAACCAGGAAACAGAGCTACCAGGGAGCATCGGCAGGGGCCCACACTGCCAACCTATCTGCAGTGAATTACGGGCTGACCAGCTGCTGATGCTGGTTGTCCTCTCTATAAAACACATCTCAAACACAATTTTTAAAATTTCCACTTGCTGAAATGACAACCCATTTGTTCCTCCCTTACAGTGCACGAACGTTTCTGTACTGAGGTAATATCATACAAACAGTAGGGGGGAAATCAGGAATCTATGGTAGAATATTACCCAAGTTATAAATGCAGTTTATTACTCTATTGTGTGTCTACAGTTTCTGGAACATTGTAGCAGATGTATTTTATAGAGAAATGACAACATGTTTTAATGAAATCCAGGTTTAGATTCTGGCAACATTTCTTCCTTAATTTTATATTTTGTAACTGAGTCTACAACTCCACCAGGAAAAATCAATAGAATATTTAGTACACTTCACCATCTCACCTTCATAGGTATTTGTACAGAGAAGAAAATAAATTTACGTGACAGACCAGGAGTTACTTTTTCTTTACTTGAAACTGAACTCTGTTTTCCTCTGCTGACACCTACAAGTTCCAGCTTGTTCTGGTCTCTTCCAGGTGAAATTCAAGCAGTCATTACATTTTTCGCTGGATCTCTCTTGCATAACACATACTTGTTGTGTTGCACTGGATTGGCCTGAAGTGCTGTGGCTCTCCAGCTCCCTAATCACACTGCTCAGGGGAGGTGAACAGGGTCACACCCTGCATCCCTTATCGCTGCCCACTGCGGGGAGTAGTGCTCTAAGTTAAAAATAGGAAGAGCCCCACTGTCCCCAGCTCCTGTGCCCAGGCCTGCCGCAGAGCTCACAGACTGTGGACATCCTTCTGAATCCCTCACATGCCCAGGTGGACAATGTAAGTCTCAGCTGACTACAGAGAAATCACAGGGGCTTTTTTAAAAAACGATGACAGTTCAATCAAGTGTATTTGCTTTATGAGAATATTTCTGACACAGGAGTAAGCATCCCTGCCAAATTTTATTTCTTCCTCAAAAGCATGTGGATGCTGCAGGTTTTCTGACAAACTGCTGTAGGTATTTAAAATTAACAACAGAAATATGAATTGATAATGTTCATCTGCCTAATATGTTATTCTTGGAATATTTTTTTCTTAAACTGAAAAAAAAGCATCCTGAGGATGCTCTTTCAGGAAACACCTGATGTGGAATAGTTCCAGTCGAATGGCAGAATCATAAAATTTGGCAACAGCACAAACAACTTTCAACTTTAATCAAGGTCTTACACTGTAGGAGGCAGCTTGTTTACAAGGCACAGCAGTGGCTCTGCCTTGCATACACCACCTGTGTCCCTGGAGTGTGCACAAGGCTGCACAGACTGACCAGTGCTACTGTCATGTTAACAGTTAAAGCATTTGGTGAGACTGCATAACAGCAAGTGATCTTCAAAGCATTTTTATTAACTTGTGGTCCTTCTGATGACTTTACAAAAAAAAAAAAAAAAAGAAAAAAGAAAAAAGAAAGAAACATGTATGTAATTTATATACAAGTATACATTCCTCCCAGGCAGCCAAGTCTTGGTGGTCCTGAATTAGGATACCTTCTTGGGGTGTCTCTGCATGCTTTACACACGCAGTGACAGAGTCCTTTTCTGCATCCCAAAGGAACAGCCCATTCCAGCCAGTCTGTACCACACTGACTCACTCACCTGCTGGCTCAGGTGCAAGTTGAATAGGATCACAGAAGCCCAAGAGTTATGGTGCATTTTGTGAGCCCAAATCATCTAAATTCAAAACAGGACAGTGAACAAAAACTGACGATTAAATGAAAACAGTGCCATTTTCTAGCAGCACTACAGACTTCTTGAAATTCACACTAACTTTGGTACAAAACACAGGAAATTAAAACACTGTAGTGAAATCTACTGCACACAGAGCACTCTGAACCTAAAACAAACCTGTGATGTTACCATGACACACCAGTGATCGTATTTACAAAGAAATTGTGCCCATGTTCTTTCCTCCACCAGTTAAAGTTGGTTTGCAGTAGAAGCTCTATCAAATTTGAGACTTTGCTCACTCAGTTTATTGCAAAGGTGCTCAAAGTCGATTGTGTTGTTGCCAGAACAGGATAGTTGAACATTCTGTAATCAAGATAAAGACCAAGTCCTCTGTCAAACAGGCTTCATGACATACTTGTATAACCATGAAAAACTGAGGAGCTGTATGTCATCCTGCTTAGAAAGAACTCACAAATGTAGCCAATAAGCCAGAAGTTCTGGTAGCCCTGGGAACCTGGAAATAGAGTGCTGCAGAGGCTGAGGACAATTCATCTCCTTTGAACTTGCAGTCTTTTGGTCTTTTTCACACCACTTTTGGGTCTGAAATGTTTGGAGCTCCTTGTTCTGGTCATCTGTTACAATTTTTCTATTTCCTTGGAGGTTTGCTTCAATGGTTGATATCCCAGACTCAGCTGTGCCATTCCTTTATGTATCTTCCCAAGGACATTTTTTATTTGCTATCATCTTTCTGTTTTCAGTCATCCCATTATCATCCCATTGGTTTTAAGTCATCCCATATCAACTGCTCCTTTTGTTTTTCCCTCTCAATCGCAATTTACTTATGGTGTTTCATGGGCCAGTGGGGTACTTGACCCACAGTGCTCTTCACTAAATGGCTGTGTCAGCTTTGCCCAGTCCCATACCCTAATTGCACCAACATGACATCTCACCCATACCTGTCCTAGATGCTCCAACAAACAATTAACAGTTTGCTATTTAAATAACCACTTCCACAAGAACATGTGTTAACAATTCTTAAAGAGGCAATTCACACTTCTGAACCACTTGTCTCAGTGCTCTACGGGCATTCATATCTGAAAACGTTTGAGTCATATTTTGGGTGTCTCCTTCACAACAACAAAGGCTGGAGACTTGCTCCCAGACACAGTCTAACTCTGCCTCACTACCTCAGTGAAGGGCTTTCATTTTCCCTATAGCATACACTACATATGTGTTTGCACACATACACACTGTTTGCACAGAACACAGCGACCCTAAAAAGCAGAGGGGAGCCCTCAGCCCCCGAAACGTAGGGAAATGTGAAGGGAGAGTGAAGCAATGAGCCATCGCACTGTCACCAAAGGGACATACCCTATTCCCTTCCTATTCTCTCCCTCCACCTCCCAGCTGCTCCTGGGCATGCACTTCCCACTGCTCACCTTACGCCAGGTGTAGCAATTGTGGAATCAGTTTAGAAAGTGTCAAGTGCAAGACACTGACAGAAAATCAGCCCCTCAATGGAAAGTTTTACGTTAAATTATAGAACGTAACTTACTCTTGGAAGCACCTAGTGAGGGCACACCTGGCAGAAGGGAGGGGAAAAGCCCTCACGTGATTGAGAGTAAGGGCAGGCAGTGGTAGCTAAATCCCCTGCCTTTGGCAAAAACAAGCAGTTGGACTAACTTAGGTACACTTGGGACTTTGGCCTAAGCTGGTGGGAATCCAGTTTATGGTGTTATGCCTTGTTTAACCAAATGGACCCTCCCCAGTAAACCCCGCACCTCACAGTCCAGGTTATGGTTCACATAACTGCATTTTCATTTCCAAATAATTTTCAACCTTCTTTCCCAAATATGTAACATGAGAAGCCAAGATTTTAGACTAAAAATAAACTGTGATTGTTAATACAGTTCGTGAATAATAAATTAATTAATGCTTAAATTTACTTAAAACTCAATCCCACTAGGATCATTTTTCACATAAATAAAGCACTCCAAAAGTTCTAGCAGAAGGAAATACTCAGATTCAGAGCAGAACTGTGTTTTATTTGTTACAGCTGTTCGTTTATGATACCTGATTCTAGACACAAATTCCTTTGTTTTAGAAATGGTGGTTCATACACTTACCCAAAATGTGTATTATCAGCACAGGTATAATTAATTTTAGCAGCGTAGTAAACTGTGTTGTTGCCTGGGAAATCAAATCCTGCAAAAAGATGGCAAGGCTGAGTCATTCCCTTTGGTAACTCTATAACTTAATGTAGAGTAAAAACTATGCAACCCTATCCAGACTGCTATAAAAGGAAGTCAGTAAAATCTGAGGGTGAACTCTAGTAGGTTGTTGGTTCTTTTGTCTTATATTAGGTGAGCTATAAGTTCACATTTTAAATAAAATGCAGTTTGTTATATTAGGGTGAACTGCAAGAGCTTTTTTTTAATATATAGTATGGACTCATAACCCTTTTTCTTCTTTATAATGTACACAAGACACTTCATATTGGAATATAGTTTTATAACATTTTTCTCCTCTACCTATTTTTTTAATAAATAATACACTTGAAACATTTATCTGTGGTGTTTGGAAATGTGAAATCAAACCTTAGCGCACAGGTTGCTTTGAAGTTACAACACCTTAACAAACACCTGTCTTTTTTCGTGGTGCAGAACTTATTGTATTTATTTCTGACGCTAGACTTGTACTTGGGAAAGGAGCCCCTTAAACCTCCTGACTGTGAGGAGCACATTGCACCTGGGGACCCCGAGACACGGCTTCAGCGGCACACAGCTCTGTGCTGCAGCCTGCTGAAAGCACCAACAGAGCACTGAGAGCAGTGCAGGAACACTGCAACAATGCAGCATCAAATACAGCCGAATGGGATGGTTGAGGGACGGGAAAATGTGTCATACAAGGACAGGCTGAGAGAGCTGAGAGCCTGGAGACAGATATCTCGCTGTGTAAGAACATCTGGTGGGAAGGAGCAAAGAAATGACAGCCAGGCTTCTCAGCGATACCCCATCACAGAACCAGAGGCAACGAATGGGCCTATGCTGACATGCTACAAATTTAATTTAAACATCATAAGGAAAACAAATTAACTTTTTTTTTTTTTTTTTTTTTTTAACTGTGAGGGTGACTGAGCACAGGAGCAGGTTGCCTAGAGGTCTCCATCCTTGGGCACACTCAGAATCCACTCAGACCTGGCTGTGAGCAACCAGCCCTTGCTGATCCTGCTTTGAGCGGGAGTTTGGATCAGGCAGCCTCCTCTAGAGCTCCCTTCCAGCCTCAGCAAATCCCTGAGTCCCTGATATTTGCTCATTTTGCACCTGTAAGCATATACACTCCTGCATAATTTTACAGCAAAACTTAATTTTGCTTCACCCTCGAAATGAGAAATAATTTCCCAGCACCCGAGGAAATAATCTAAGTGTAAATCCTGTGAAGCAAACAAACAAACAAACCCCTCTTCCCCCCGTTCTGAGTAACAAACGACTTTCCACATTTAAAAAGAAGCTACCGCATCAGAAACGCGTATTTTGTGGTGGGTTTTTTTTTTTCATATATACTATATATTCCCATTTATTTGGTGAAATACATTCTAGATATGACCTACCCCTAATTTAGTTCATTCGAGTGGTACTTCCCTCACGCACAGGGCGGGGCGCCAGCACTGAGGGCGGCGCCCCACGGGGCCGCCCCGCCCTCCCCGCTCTCGCGAGATGGGCGGTGCGCGGCGGGACATCCGGGAGCGCCGGGACAAGATGGCGGTGGAGTCGCGGGTGACGCAGGAGGAGATCAAGAAGGAGCCCGAGAAGCCGATCGACCGCGAGAAGGTGGCCGGGATGGGCGGCGGTGGTGCCGCGCCGCCTCTCCGGGCGCGGCGGGGCGGACACCGGCGGTGGGGCGAGGGGGGGAGTGGTGAGGGTCTGGCGACGCCGTGAGGCCGCGGGACGCCGGGGTGGGGAGGGGAGGGCGTGGCGAGCGGTCCCTCATCCTGGTGCCCATCCCCATCCCCTGGCCCCTCATCCTGGTGCCCATCCCCATCTCCATCCCCTTGGCCCCTCACGCCCGCCTCGCCCCGCAGACGTGCCCGCTGCTGCTTCGCGTGTTCACGACCAACAATGGGCGGCACCACCGCATGGACGAGTTCTCCCGCGGCAACGTGCCCTCCAGCGAGCTGCAGATCTACACCTGGTGAGTGACCCCCCCGATCCGCACCCGGCGAGGGGAGCGGGGCCTCGGCTGGATGGTGCCCGGGTGGCAGAGGGCGTTGGGTGGGCACTGGTCGGAGAAGGAAGCGCTGGGGACGGTTTTGCCGGCGCTGGATAGAGCCGTTCTGGCTGTGCCTGAGAGGGGCACCCCTGGGAGCACGGCTGGGGCTGAACGCTCATTGCTGCACACTGAGACTTAGCGTGGCTGAATTGCCCAGTCCCAGGTGCACGGGATCGGTGGCTTGTGCTGTGGCCTTGGTTATCACAACGAATCCGTTCAGTGCAGGGGTTCTCCCGCAGTGGTTAAATTTTGTTCCAACAGCCCTGTTTTTCCAGTACAAGTAGTTGTCCCAGAAGGCTTGAACTGTTGTGTGAATGGCTTGTTGGTTTAACTCTCGAAAGCAGAGTAATGTGTTTATTTTTGCATGGTCAGGTAGCAGCGCTTTAACAGAGAGCTGCTTTTTATTACTTTCAAATTTATTTTGGAGAACTGCTTTACTCTCTGTTTGCAAACATGTTAGGTTTTGTTTGTAGTGTTTTGAAGAACGCGTTTGAAAATCAATTATGCTCATTTTTAAACTTTCTTTTTCCTTAATGGTATCTGGCACGGTTGTAGCTTGTGCATCGTGTAGTTGAATAAATCCATTTTTGTGGCTACCAAAGCATACAGTTCTAATTTACTTCTAAGTGGGATTTATGGACTCTGTCCAGACTGTTGGTGGTGTCTGAGCTGTTTGCCATCTGCAGAAGTTAAAATGGGCATTGTCTGTCAACACACTGCCCCTTGGTTGTCTGAAGCTCGGAGTGACTGTACAGTCTGTATAATTACAGATGCTTTAGTTGTGATGATTAAGTCCTTTTGTACTTGAAATTCTAGAAATGAGCTTTAGCCCTGCTCTGGTTGAAAGCTGGGAAAAGGAGTGCTGCCTGCTAGGACAGAAATGGAAAACTGTTAATTTCTTTCTGCTTTTACATTTCCACTAGTATTCAATAAACTATTTGAATATGCATGTTAACTTAGGTGAGGAGACTCTTAGACTCTGCCTTGTATAAATGCATTAATGCTTTACAAAAAATAAATAGACTCCTGCTGTTTAAATGGTAGCTCTTCTTAGAGACCTGGAAAAGCAGATGATGAAATGTGTACAGAGGTGAAGGGGTTTGCCTTAATACCATGGTAAATCAGACAGTAGGTAGAAGCTACATTTGTGTTAGGCTGTGTTGTACAGTAAGTGGCGAATTATCACAGGTGTTATAACCAATAACTAGAGTGACTTTGTGTGACTTGATTGTTTGATCAAAAAGTGGTGTTTGTCCTGTGGTGCAGTTGTGAAATCAGAGGCTCCCAGTGATGTGTCGGATCTGACTTTCAGGTAGGGATATAGAGTGTGCAAAGGCAAGGAAACATATGGTTAAGTTGTTGCAATGCTTTGATTCCATCTTAAATGTTGGGAAGCTTTTTTTACTGTTGCTTTTGAGAACATGAAGCACTTTAGTTTGTTTGTTCAATCTAGGATGGATGCAACTCTGAAAGAGCTGACCAGCTTAGTGAAAGAAGTTTACCCAGAAGCACGGAAGAAGGGCACACACTTCAATTTTGCAATTGTTTTTACAGATCTCAAGAGGCCTGGCTATAGGTAAATGGCATTTCTTCTCTGGCTTACTACTAGACTTTGGGCACCAAAGCAGTAAATTATTATTCATTAGCACTGATTTTAAAGTTCAGAACCCATATACCAGACTTTTGAAGTTCTATATGATGACCACTGCAAACCCTAAATTGTGCTTGGTGACCGTCCCTATTAATGTCTTCCCAAAACAAAGGCTCTGTGTGCATGAAGGCCTTGGTTGCTGTAGTGGCAACCAGCCGGAACACAAACCTTCAGCTGGAGGTAATGCTTTGTTCCTGGTAGGTCTTGCACCTGAGTTATAGCAATGATCTTGTTGCAGGTATCTCTCTTCCAAAATGGCATGAGCTAACCTTTGCCAGCATCCAGTGGATATACCCTGCTCTGGAATCTGTGGAGTCTTGTGCTGTGTCTGTTTGGAAAGGGGCAAGGGGTTCTTGCTAGTATTATAACAGGGTAAAAGATTCCCCCATCCTCTTCCCTGTCAGAAAGAGCATTTGCTGTAGCTTTTCTTGGTGCACCTGGTTCTGCAGAGAAAAAACCCAGCATCTTGTGTACACAGTCAATGCTACCTGGGGTGCAGAGGATGGCGTGAGAAGGGGGTTGTGAGCCAATACTCTTCCTGTTTTGGAGAAACCGGCCACTGATCACTAACTTGCATTTCCTCTGCTGCTCACAGGGTGAAGGAGATCGGCAGCACCATGTCGGGCAGGAAGGGAACAGATGATTCCATGACACTGCAGTCTCAGAAATTCCAAATAGGAGACTACTTGGATATAGCCATCACTCCTCCGAATCGCGCACCGCCCCCATCAAGCCGCATGAGACCTTACTAAACTACTGCTTCTTTGTATGATTACACATTCTCTTTATTCCTACTTGCTGTTCTAAAGCAGGCTTATTTTTTTGCTTTTGTTGCTAAGCACCTGAAAACAAAGCAGAGCACCAGAAAGGAAAGTTAACTCTTAAACCTTTAGTTTATTGTTTAGTAGAAACCCTTATTTTTAGCAGGGCCATCATCCTATCCCTGATTGTTGCAGTTTGAATAGCAAGTTAGTGTGTCCAGTGTTTCAAGGCTTCCATAAAATATGACCAGGAGGATTACAGGTGTTCTGTAATTCTGTCTTGTTTGGAATAAAGATTGATGTTATTAATCTTTTTATAGTGTGGTCGTGTATGGAGGTTCAAGGGTCTGTGTTAAAAGTTACTACTGAAGCTGGGGGTTGTTGAGAGTTTTTAGCAGTCAGCTTTTAGAATCTGAAAAATGGAGGGGGGGTAGCTCAGAGGTCTCAGTTGTCCATGGGCAAACTGGGCTGTGGGTCTGTGTGGTGTTGCCTGGTACCTTCGTAGAGGAGCAGGATGAAGAAGCGGCATTTCACGGCAAAACAGTGCAGCACCAGGAGGATGGGGCCTGTGGCTTCTTAGCTTGGTGCTTGTCAGCTTCTTCTGTCACTGCAGGAGGAGATGTTGAGACACACGGGTGCCTCTGGTCTGTGGCTGACCAGGAGCATCCAGCTGGTCTGGGCAGAGCCCAGCACTTGGTTCCTGCACACTGAGCCCCTGTGTGCTCAAAGAAAGGCCAGAGCAGGAGTAGAAGCCGTAGTTGCTCCGTAGAGCCTTTACCTTCCTTACTTGAGGCCTGAGCAGAGGCTAAGACTGAAGTAAGTGTTCCTGTGTGCTGAGGACAAGGCATGCTTTGTGTCATGAGCTGGGATCTATAGGTTTGTTTGGTTTTTTTTCTCTCAGTCCCTCGGTGCAGTATAGCCTGGGGGTTTTAAGTTCAGTTCTGCCCATGGCTTACTCCTCTGTCCCCCTTCTCTGGCTTCTAAGTTGAGTTGTAGTTTCAGCCTTCATGAATGTCTGTCATTCAGAGAATCACCTGTGCCCAAGTCACTTTTCCCCTGAAGACTGAAAAGTGTTCCCCAATTTTTAAGAGAGCTCAAGAAAATACACTACAAATGGTGCTTATAGAGGACTGCACCTGGAAGTGGCAGTGGAGCTGATCTAATGTTCCCAGAGTTGGGATGGATGGGATGGTTTGCCAGGATGCAGTCAGCTCTGGTGTGAGGGAGGTGCTCCACGATACTGCTGCTGTGAGGAACAGTTCAGTGACTTCTGTGTCACCCAGGGGCAGGCTTGGTCACGTTTGGGACCCCTGCCCACCTGCCTGCTGCCTCAGCTGTCTGGTGTTTGGCACCTTACAGACCTGGACAGACAGAAGAGTGAACACTACTGCCAAGTGGCCTCACCAATTGCCACAGGGCATCCTCTGTCCTGCCAAGTGAGTGAGGTGAGCACTGCAGTAACTGGCACATAATTACAGAATTGTACAGCTCCTACCTAAGGCAAGGACAGACCTACCATTAGGGGTATGCAGGAATATGAACATTTCCTCATTTTTGGGTCCTGGTTTTTGCTTTAATTGCATTTCATAAAATGAAATGTAGTCATTATATAAGGCAACAGTGGCAAGTGAGCCTGTGTCAGTGATTCAGCTGCTCTGGGAGGCAGCTTGGCTTTGCTGCTAGAATGGGAGACATGGCCCAGTGAAGGCTTGTGCCTGCCCAGCTGGCAGAGAAAAAGAACACCTAATGGCCTTGTATGTGGTGGCCCATGAAGCAAATTCACCATGAAATGAACATGTAGAAGTGCCTTCAGTAGCAAATATTACAGCTTGACTGTTTAGGTGAGGAGTTCACCTTCCCTTGACTGCCATGAATCTATAAACTTCAGCTGATCTCCCCAGCTGCTTTGGGAAAACATCTTGGGGAATGAGATTTGCCCTCAAACACTTGCACTTCACACAGAAAGGTGATGCAAAAGTGGAGAGAGTTCAACTTTTTGTGCCTATTGTTATGAGAAAAGACACTTGAGAGCCCAGTGTAGTTCAGGTTAGGAGTTCCCTACATCACAATCCATTAGGCAATCCAGGCCAATGGCAGCAGCTGCGAAAGCAGACAGCACCAGGGCACAACCATCCAGATGGGGCAAGAAGTGAATGGGAAGTGAAAGCTGTCACCTGCTGAGCTCCTACTGCACAGGAGGGAATTCACTCACAGTAACAAGGTTGAGTTTGTCTCTCTCAAAGCTACTATAAAAATTGAAGGATATAAATCCCTAAAAAGAGCAAAATATGTAGAGTGTGGTTTGGGGAAATAAAAACATGATCTCAAAATTCATTAACAGTGAGCAATCCCGTATGCCCAGGAAGTGGTGTAGACAACATTACATCCGGATTTGTCAATCCATGTGATTTTCTTTGTATGCAGCAATTTGATGAGGAATTTTTGTCTTCATCAAGGCAGCTGGATCCTTTTTTTTTTTTTGAATGCTTAAAGCCGTAACAAACACAATTCTGTTTCATGTCTGCACTTTCACCAGTAACCACCCTTCCAAAGCTTTTTGTCTCCCAGCTGCATAAGACAAAGAACAGGGATGACAGCTTTCAAAAAAAAGGTCTCCTGGCTTTGACCTTTCTTAGCGGTAAATCCCATGAACAGCCGAGACAGCTCTTGCCTCCTGCCCAGGCCCTGGCAGGGATACCACACCTACCTCACCTCCCTTCCAGGTGTTCCTCCAGGCCTCGCCTTATCCCTGTCCTTCCTCAGAGGGCTATTTTTCTCTGCCTCTAACCGGTGACACATATCTGGACCACTCCTGCAGCTCTCCAGCCCCTGTGTATCCTGGCTCCTCTGGTTGCTGCAGCAAGCCCAGTGAGCTGGGGTCCCCAGCAGGGCCAGGAGAAGTACTGCATGTCCTGCCTGTGGGGTGCAGCACAGTCAAAGGGACCCAGATATAGGAACCGAGGTAACTTGCCCTAATTTCTCCTTTTTCACCCTCAATAGCACTGGAGGCTGCTCTGCTCCCCTAGGTGGGGCTTTATGTTCATATGTTCCCTCTGATGTGCCTTTTCTGCATGTTCAGGTTTGGCTTGTCATGAAGGACTCTCTGCCATGCTTCCCCAAACAAACTTAGTTCTTACAACTGCTTTTCCCCCCCTGTCGCCATCATTTTATCCACCTAAACCAATGTTTTTTTCAATTTGATAAACAGGAAAAAAGTGTATCAAAAATGCTAATTTTTTCCACACCAAGAAACCCCCCACTGTTACCTTGTCACACCTCACAGAAATACTGCTCCTGCTGTTTATCATTAGCCAGGCTTTTCAGTCAACAGGGGGAGGAAAAAAGATTCTCTGCACTGTGCTCAGGCCTTAAATTAAGGGCTCTGTTTTCAGAGTCCCCTTCTGATTTCACCACCTCTCCACCACAGGTGTAGTGACACTTATGTACAGGAACAGACTACAGCCTCAGAGGTGGAGCCATGGCCTTCCCTGCGGTGGCAGCACAAGCCTCATAAACATTCTTCTGCAGCACTTTTGGGAGAGGCTGCCTGTGTCTCTGGTGGAGGAACTGGTATAGGCTTTAATTAACCTCCCGAGTTAAGGAATGAGGACAACTCACACACTTTGTCAATAACCTGGGTAGCATCAGACACACTCCTTCCAGCACCATGTTTGCCCTCTGACTGGAGCAGTTGTGGAGGCTTACATTTTACTTTACAACTCTGGTCAAAAGCAGAAACAGGTGTGAAGCAGTAGGAAAAAATTAAGCAAATAACTCAGCAAGTTCTTACTTTTGTAATGGAAAGCATGGAAAACCAAAAAGGTCTCCAAAATCATGTTGTGACTGGTTTCAGAGGGGCTAGGTTGTTTGGGACCCTCCCTGGGGTATTTCCAGTTTCATAGAACAGGCTTCAAGTAGAGACATCCTGGCCCAAAAACTCACTTGACCTCTTCAATGCACTCAGCAAGAAAATCGGTGCACTCAGCAAGTGACAGCTTCAAGGGCGCCTCTGGGTGAGCTGGCTGAGGCATGAGTTCTCCACACTGTGCTCCAGGCAAACACGAGTCAGTGTCTTCAGACTTGAGGAAATGGGGGGAGTTTAACAGGGCCTGAAACTGCACCTGTCCCAGGCTTTAGAGGACAGGAAGCAAGAGCTCCAGTAGTGATTGGTGGGGCATTTGAAAAACAGCACCCAGCACGCAGCAGTCTTGCACCAGCCCCCGGCTACCTGCCTGTTCAGCTGGGGCTGTGTGGACTCCTGTCCTGGGGCCTGTTGGAAGGCATGCTGCACTCCTGCTGCCTTTGGCTTAACCACTGCACTGGAGGGCAGGAGGCCTATGCTAAGAAAGGAGAAGGGAAGCAAAGGCACATAGAATTACTAAAGGTTTGAAATACACTCCGCAAGTGCCACAACAGCCCATGACAGCCAGAACAAACCACACCACCCTGCACCTACAGGCTAGGACAAACCTCACTTCCAAGGGTGTGCAGCAGCTCTGTTCCCTCCAGCCCAATTTATGCAAAACCAGCCAAGCAGTTGTCCCAGGAAGGGAGAGTTTGTGAGAAGAAATGTTGCGTGCTGGGATGAAGAAGAGGAATTGCTTCAGCTGCCACTCAAGTGCTTGTGGAGAAACAGTGTTAGGCAACCTTTCCAGAGGAGCTAGACAGACAGGCTACAATTCACCCAGCCAGGGAAGGAGGATGTCCTGGCTCCCACTCCCTCATCCTTTCCCTTCTCATGCCTCAGCAACCACCAGTGCCTTCGCGGGCAGACAGTGATTTGGGTCAGTGCACAGTCTATGAACAATTTAATCTTGGAAAACAGTAATTAATTCCTGGTGGTTGAGCAAGCAGGAATGGATTCCCCTGCAGCCACAACTACAGTGACACAACTGACAACCTATGGCGTGGGACCTGCAGCTGGGTCAGGAAAGGCGGGGCCACGCAGACTGCCTTACAACAATTGCGTAAGCAATCATTAGGGAACCAACCACAGGGCTTTGAGCCAGGAGTACATTGTGCCAAGAACTATGGAAGCATTTGAACACCTTCCTGCTGGGTATTCTGCAAACTATGCTTTGCTTGGTCTCTTCCCAGGAGAAGTGCCTGTGTAACACAGCATCTTCTTCCATGGACATTTCCCATGAATATGCATTTGTGCTACTTAAAACTCTTCAACTTGAATTAGGCAAAACAAGATCAAAGAAATTCACAGATCTGGTCAGCTCCCTACCATGCTGTCAACTGCCCCTTTGTAATAGTAGGTATTACTGTAAGGACAGCATGAGGCTTTACATTTAAGTTGATAG